ATTCACATAAATAAAATAAAAAATGCTTATCTGAGATCTTAAAAACTATAATGCAAGTTAATATAAACATAATATAATATAATCTTCTACCACATTCACACAACGCCATCTAGTCCCAAACTAAGCAGAACTTGTACTATGGGTACAAGACAACTGATATAAATAAATGTATACTTTTTTTTGTAAATACTACATAGAAACACCCGGACCAAATCAAACATTAAATGTTGCTCACAATTAATGTTAGACTTGAGCGGGAATCGAACCTAGTAGTCTGTTAAACAAACCACTATGCCATCCAGTAGTTATGATTAGTCTAGTTCTAGAAAGAATAGGGTAACGTATAAATATTACACATCTGGTCTGAAATGTGTAAAATTAATATTCTTTAAAAAAGCGGATTGGAAGCCACCTGAGCTTTTTGCGGTAGTGGGAAACATGATCATGCGAAGTCCAAATATGAATCGTATGCAAAAATTTTGGAGACGCTCAAGTTTATCAAGATGTGCTTCGGTGAGATCGAGATAGCTAACGTCGGCATAGTCAAGAATCGGCAGTAGGAGCGTTTGTGCAAGTGCAGTTTTAGTAGCAGTCGGAAGAAAGTTTAGTAACCTTCGCAAAGATCCCGCTGCAACGAACACTTTGCGGCTCATCTCCTGCATCTGAGGTCCCCATGATAAGGTGCTATCGATTATGTATATATGTAAATATATGTGTATGTGATATTGATGATTTTGTGTGTGTTCAAGTGGATTCGAGAATGGTTTCGTTTCACAATTCAGTCCCCTACAAAATGTTTTTTTAGTTTAAGGCGTGTGTATAGGACAACGTCTATCAGGACAGATAGTATTTTTATAAATTTTCTTATGACAAATCAAATATTCTTCTTCAAATGTTATCTCTATTGAATTAACTATATAAATTATCTTCCTGAACTGTTGAGTACTAGTATTCAACAACATACTATAGGTACATACTTGAATTAAATGCAAGAGCACCTGTTGCGGTTTCCTTTCGCTATGTTCAATCTTAACCCATATCAAACATTTAATTAAAGTTGTGAAATACTTCCAACTGGTCAGTAAAATTACAATAACATGGTAAGTGATGAGTGAGGTCAAGGTCCGCCTATGTGTCTTATTATAGATTTGTAATCTGAGACTTCTGAGACTAGGGAGATAGGCTTTTAAGAAATCTCTATACCTACTTAGTTAGGATACTTACTAATTTATAGCTTTCATATTTGGCTCGTATCTATAGTACGCATTCTTCGAGCATGTTCTAAGCGGGACAAACTAATTAAGGAGTTTTGTCCTTGCCAAGAATCTGTTGTTACAACAAGAATTAGATGGAAGATTGAATCTAAAACTAATATTGTAAAACCACTTTTAAATCTAAGATAAAGAAATCTATAAAAGTTTAAATAATCTTATTAGTGAGTTTGGCATGCAATTGTAGAATACAAACACCACATCTAATAATATTGGTGGAAGGTTGATCTTCTGCATAAGTCTGCAGATGTTCTATTGTGTTATTACTCATGTTCTATTGTAATAACATCGTACCATTTTTATATAATATGTTAAAATTTTACGTGCTTGGATTTGATTTTGATTAAATCTAATCGACCGATTTAGTTGAAGTTTACAACATGTACACCACATATTATACTTATACTAATAAAATATGTGACTTATTAAAGGCTTACTGTAAGGGTTCTTGAAAAGGTACTTGCTGGATGTATACATAAAATAAATAATTTATCTAGTAGTAATACATGTATTTAATACTAAGCCTAAGTTTTAAGAGTTTACTTTTTAATTTTATTTATTTATGTAAATTGAACTTTATTTTGTAAACATGTAGTTATAATCTTTGTCTCCCAAAACCATGTTGATTGTTTGACTAGGGGTTCGAGACTCCGTACTTATAATTATATTCCAAAAATGTCCAATCTCTTAAAATAATATTATAAATCTCTCAATACATAGTATTTTATATTTACATTTTATCGTACATAATTCTCTACAGGTCCGTTCAACTCGCACTTTTTCGGTTTTATAAGAGCTATGGTAAGGTTTATTTCAGTTGTGATTTAACGAATAGTAAAATACCTACTTATACACAAACTAAATGTATTTTAGATAACAAATACTAGCGGTGTTATTAGATTTGTATAATAAAGTTACATTTTAGAAGCATTTTATCCTATGTCAGGTCTAAGAAATACGTAATCAACCCATAGCAACATACATATATTACGAGTCTGGAAACGTTGTAAGTACTGCGGTACAAAGCAAGCTTAATTAAATTACTTTAATTATGTGGGTTAAGATTACATTTGTTCTTAAATGCTGTTTGTAATATATGGCGCATTTCAGCCATGACACGTTTAAAGATAAATTCAAGCGTACTTGAATGATAGTTGCCCGAAGTTGTACCTGCTTTTGTGCTCACTGAAACCCCCTAAAGGGCGATAGCATAGTGTAACATAGCTTTTCTCGATAAATTTCTTGTAATATATATATATATATATATATATATATATATATATATATATATATACATATCGCACTTTACTTACATGTGAATACTTGCATAAAATTGCATTGTAATTGTAAAAGTTGCTATAGCAGATATTTTAAAAGAAAAATATCTTTTTTTTTGGTTATTGGAATTATACCGGCAGCTAGAACAAAATCAAACAATAGTATCTGTGGATACATTAAGTTTCCTTTATAGTGGAAATGTAACTAAGTACCTACTGAGGTTGAAGGATAAAAAATAAAATCAATAAAATAAAAATAAAACTAAAAAATAGAAAATAAATTTTAATTAATTTAAAAAAAAGCGTTGGGTGCCTGTTGTCAATAGTAGAAAGGTTTTTTTAAACTACGGTAAATTTGCTTATCTTTTATCTTAAATAGAATTTAAGAATTCAGTCTTACTTAAGGCTATTCAAATTAAGTACTAATGTTCTTAAAGTTTACCTTAGAACATATTAAATACATAATCATCACATAACTGCAAAGAGAAGGAAAACTTGAAACATACCCTTTTTTTATTTTATTTTACGCGTGGAAATCCCCTCGGACTGTCACCCCACCGGGGTTTGCGGCGGGGTGATGTGTCGGACTCGGACCGACTAAAACCACACGGTGTGCCACTCTGCGCCTGTAATAGGAGGGATCCGGGAACAGCTGTTATTAAGACATCCGGACCCATCCTAGCGCCTGCCCGCAACGATGCGGGCACCACCTTCGGGTACATTCTCTATTCAGGCGACGTCCGGCACACGCGGACGTCGCCTCCTCGCGGCTTCAATAAAATTTTCGTCTGATAATTCGTAAATAACTTTCTGTATTAAAAACTTTTTTTAAAGTAAGCCTAAATGTCTTTATATTTAAGCTTTATACATTCAGTCAAAAAAGTATCGGGAATTGATGATTTGTTTATGGTTCCAAATTCAAATTTTTTGTTTTTGTTGTTGTTGTTAGATTGGCATAACTGTTTTCCATTTTGGCGCGGAGTTTGAGTTGCATCTGTTATTTATATTAAATACAGTGCTGTTTTTAGTTATATCATATCTAGTGTGTATTGCGAATTTCATAATGGATAAAAACATCGAACAAAGAGTTTGTCTTAAATTTGGCATCGCCAATGGAATTTCGTATTCGGAGTCACTGAAAATGTTACAGAAGGCTTACGGTGAATCGACTTTATTAAAAACACGTGCTTATGAGTAGTACAAAGCGTTCGAAAGCGGTCGAGATGTGATGGAAGATTTGCCTTGCTCTGGTAGGTCATCAACGTCTGCAACTGAAGTTAACATCGCAAAAGTGAAGGAAATAGTGACTGAAAATCCTCATTCAACTTTGAGAGGGATAGCCGGTAAACTTTCTGTATCTCACGAGTCAATCCGTACCATTTTAATTAATCATTTGTGTATGAAACATGTTACCGCTCAGATAGTCCCAAAAGACCTGAATTTTCTCCAAAAACTCAATCGCACGAGAGTCGATGAGGACATGCTAGAACGAGTCAATTCCGACCCAACATTCATGAAACGCATTGTTACTGGTGACGAGACGTGGGTTTACGAGTTTGACATGCAAACTAGTCAACAAGTTTCATAGTGGTGCCTTCCAACTGAATCGAAACCGAAAAAAAACACGCAAAAGTCAAAGTCATGTTGACTGTTTTCTTTGACAATCGCGGTGTTGTGCACTCAGAATTCTTGCCCGGAGGTCAAACAGTAAATAAAGAATATTATTTAAGCGATGTACGGCATATAAGAGAGCAAATTCGACGAAAAAGGCCAGATTTGTGGAAAGAATTTTTGACCAAACACAACAAATACCATCGAGCAACCACCATATTCACCTGATATGGCTCCAACCGACTTCTTTCTTTTTTCTCAACTCAAATTACCACATCCTGGCGCCCGATTTCAATTGTTAGAAGACATAAAGAAGAATTCGCGGCGAGAACTGAACTAAATTCCGGAAACAGCGTTTGAAAAATGTTTTGATGATTGGATTATTCGTTGGCGTAAGAGCATACTTTGAAGGTGATAAAATAAATTTGGATGAATAACAAACATTTTGTGTATTATTGATCTTTTCCCGGTACTTTCTTGACAGAGTAGTTTATAAGCTTTTAATAAATATATATAATTGGTTAAGGGTAATTATTTGAAAATTCAGTTGCAAGATTTGACGTGTAATGACGTTTAATAAAAAATTTGAAAACATCGATTTTATATGCGGTGTTAAAGATATACACTTTTAATAAGCAGATGTAGCCCAAAATTACTTTAATTACTTTGAAGTTATTCCTTATCTGTCGTTATAGCCCTTAAGATTCATGTTTGAACCGAAATACAAAGTAATGGAGCCGTTAGAGCTCATTTACTCAACTGTAATCGTGGTTCGGGCCATTATCAACTGAAATAATATTAAACTAACAGACTGGACTTGAGGATAAGATACACGTTTAAAATGTATTCAGCATCATTTAGCGTATTGGTATTCTGCAGTCGATTAAGACAGTATCTACTCTTAGAGGTAGGAAGCGAGAGGGAATGGATATATTTCCTCCTTTTTCACTCCAAATTTCTCCATCAAGGCAAAAATATTATTACTTGAGTTGCAAGTATTTTAAGCAGTAATAGCCGTTTACGATGAAGCGTGTCAAGAGATATTATAATATTGACGTACATTTTCGCAAGTCGCACCGCTGCTTAGAAGTCCTGTCTATGACCTGTTCAAGATGAAAAGCCTACGTCTTAAAGTAAAAATATCTGCATCTTTTAAATTTTAAAAATCAATAGCATCACGATTTTAAAATAGTGTTAAAACGACTTTACTGATTAAGATTTTCTTTTCAGATTGGTTGGCGAACAACAAACGCGTGGTTAGCAGGCAACGTGGCCTGTAAAATTTTCCTTGTCCTGAGGGCCTTTGGCCTCTACTTGTCTTCCAATGTATTAGTCTGCATATCACTTGACAGGTAAATGGTATTTTACATTATATACACTGAAATATCTTTCTAGATTTTATCAACATGAATAAGGTAAGCCAATAAGTAATGGGCCAGATGAAGTAGAGTATTTTACCACGTACCACGAGTATTTGACCAAATCATACAAAACCAGGAGTTATATCACTGTGAATGCCTATGTATAATTTATGTTGGCAAGCGATAAGACCGCCAATGGACAGATGTAACACAAGGGTGTGCAGATATGCAAGTGCTAAAAACTAGAGGGGTGGGTTGGCCTTTTTTTGTGCGTGTAGAAACTCCGTCGGGCCTTTACCCTACCGAGCTTGCAGTGAGGGAGTGTGTCGGAATCCGAGGCAGTGTGTCGAATGAAACCCTACGGTGTGTCAAAATGTATCTGTAAAATCAGGCCGTTATTGCAGGTGGAGAGTAAAACACGTCCAACCACCTGAGGCCACACTCAGGTGACTTATGACGCTGGAAGACAGTGGACACAATATGACGCGCCACCGTCATTTAGTTAACCGTTCTGCGAATCGGGTACGAGTGGAGATCTTCCTGTCGGGTTCTTTCCGCCGCTTCTTTCAGCGTGATGACGTTCTTGTAGAAGAATGTAACCGCAGTAAAACATCGATGACCTTCATGGAGTGAAAAGGGGGCTAGAACTCTAATAAAGAGTCGGTAAAATGCAACAAAAACAACAACAAGTTTCTATGTTGATGTTTACCATCGGTAGACAATACATTGTACCGTTAGCTAGACCAATTCAAACGATTTATGACCAGGATGTTCATCATTTTTGGTGCTACTACTAGATGCTTATTTCGGTCCGAGAAAGCTACACCTGTGCGGCCATCCCTTCGGATACCACTCATCGGCCGGATGGTTATGTCGGACTCGAACCGATCAAATACCGCACACCGTCTCGGGTACCAGTTGCCGGGAAACCGGTACCTTTTTTTTTTTTTTTTTTTTTTTCCGTGCGGAAATCCCCTCGGATACCACCTGTCGGTGGCATGTCGGACTCGAACCGACTAAAACCGCACGCCGTCGCCGGGTACTAATAGCCGGGGAACCAGGTATACCCTAGAAAGGAAGTCCCTGGTGCCCCGACATACCTCGGGTCATCTACAGACGAGTAGACGACCCCCCCCGTGTGGGAACCCCATGTTCCCTGTGCTCCCTTTAAGCGAGCGCGCTTCGCAACGCGCTCGCCGCCACCCCGGCCTGCTTCTGCTAGAGTGACAGATGGTCACACCTACCACCCTAAGGCCTGTGGCCTATGGAGGCCGGAGATCGTTCTGCGAGTCATCTACGGTACCTGGCCCGGTCCCGGGGAGAGTTCTAAATCTCTCCCGGTCCCCCTCCGCCATCGTGAGAGAATTCCCACTCCGATGGTCACCACGAGGCCGCACCTCTGCTCAGCCCACGCCGGACATTCTGCCAGCGTGTGGAGCGCCGTGTCCACAGGCCGGCCATCGCAGTGATGGCACTCAGGCGTTGGCTCCTTGCGGTATTAAAGCGTTCCGTGATGCCTCTCGAGCCAACCCTCCATTCCTCCTCCTCCTCTTACCGCCGCGATATCGGCGTGTCCAACCGCAATTTACAACTTAACTGCCTACGTAACTTTTAAAGAACTTTTTTGCCCACGGGGCACTATACATTTAATAAAAGAGTAAAAAGACAAAGTAACAACAGTAACAACTTTAGTGTCTCACTTTCGAGATTGCTATTTTTGTTATTTAGTATAATAAAGCTTTTACATTCTCATCTATGCTAAACATTTTCAAACACAAAAACATAAAGTTTTCCATCTGCAAAGGCATATTTTACTCGCAGAGGACCCTTAATAAAAACGTAGGCACTTTCATACTTATTGCCGAATGAATGAGGTCTTTACCCTGTACTATTTCGCGTTACCATGGTAATAACATTTATATCCTGTGTAGTCCTTTGTAACTGTGACGTTTACAGCTTTGACAGATATTCTAACTATTTCAAAGCAAATTTGAAAATACCCATTATTCTCACCAACATACTCACTGACATTAATTTACAAAGTTTGATGAATGAAAATAATTAGTAGGAATATATTTATATATATATTAGTAGGTATATATATAGAAAAATAATAAGAAGATTATATTCGAAGAGCTCTCGTTACAATTTCATTTTGGCGGAGTGAGGGTACTTCGTTTTGAACATTTATGAACAATATTTCTATACTACCTATATGTTTATATGCAATAGATTATTTTAATATCGTTTTGTAATTAACGTCCAGTCTTCAAGAGTAATTAGGATCTGCAAAGTGAATTGATCTTCTAGTAGTGGAAGCCTTTAGTGTGTTATTTCTATACTACCTATATGTTTATATGCAATAGATTATTTTAATATCGTTTTGTAATTAACGTCCAGTCTTCAAGAGTAATTAGGATCTGCAAAGTGAATTGATCTTCTAGTAGTGGAAGCCTTTAGTGTGTTACATATAATACATTTTCTGTGTAGTGTTGATGAGGAACAGCTGGCATTAATTAAACCTTTAGTAACACTAATATGGCATATAAAGTAATAATTAGTCCAACTCTAATGCGGTCCTGTAACTATACTCTTTTGCTATGAGTTATGATTTTATCACTGGCGAGAGTGAAAAAAAGGACCAAAAACAAACACAAGATCTGAGATCGAGTTTGTAAAGGAAGGCTCTACAAAAAGACTTCACAAAAGCCGTACTCAATTACAAACACCGCCAGTATGAAAATCATTACAGAATACCGGAGGCAATTTCAATTAAGAGTGTAGTACTAGTAGAACTCACGGTGCCGTGGGAAACGAACATCTCTAAAGACCACGCTTTAAAAAGAAACAAGTACTTTGAGTTAACCAACGAAATAACTAAAAATGGTTGTGTCGTTGCGTTGTATGCCGTGGAAGTGGGTGCGAGGGGTATACCAGCTAAATCACTCTATAACCTGCTTAAAGACCTTGGATCAAAAAGAGCTTCAGTAAGCTCTTTTCTTGAACGAATATCAAACGCGGCATTGCTAGACTCGTATCAAATATGGTTAGGTAGAGGGGGTAACACAGCAGACAGTGGAGGTGAGAGCTGACGCATCGCAAGGAGTACTCCCTAAACCTATACATGGGTCGCAATTCCCAGACGCTGTCGAGGTCGCATGTGTTGTCCATCTATCACGCAATGGACCCGGCACCCGCACGCTGAACCCATGGAACGCTAAGAAATAGGTCTGTTATTCTTATTATATTTTGAATTACTCCAATTAAATGTGAGTTCGTTTCCCGGATTTTATAAGATTTACTCAGAAATTTATAAATCCTCTAAATTTATAAGTATTAACATACTTGGTAACGGTTAATTATATTTTGACGTCAGCAGATACCTGTAATAGATATCGATCTTAACCATTTGCAAATTTATAATTTTACTTACTTTAATCTGTCGGTGCGGATAATCTATAATTGGGAAAAAGACGATTTTAAACAACAATAGTTGACAAATTTAAATAATTTTTTCATTCAACTAATACAGCTTCACCTGTATTTTATTTTGATTGGAGGACATTTAAAATTCTAATGCGATTGCCTTAGTTTTTAGTCGGTAAGAGTCTGACAGACCGATGGAGGCGAAGGACATCTATAAGGATCTTCCACCCCGTTAACAAAAACAAAAGTTTGCATTAAGTTAAATTATTTTATAAGAGCATTGTGTTTTTTATTAATTGAAATATCTGTTACAGTACTATCGAGAACTCATTCAAATACTGAATTAATTTATAGATAATTAAATATTTTTACTATTATAATATAAAATACTATTATTTTTTGGGCAATAAAACGAACAAATGTGTGAAAACAACGTAGATGGCACGAACACATTTATACATACATAAACAACATGTTACACAAAAATCTTGTAGCATTCCAATTGAAAAGCTATGCAATCCACATTCACATTTAAGTTTTCAAGTGATTTCTTAGTGCATAGTAAAAACTAATATTTTAAGGTTTTACCCACCTTTTCAAGATTTCTTAATAGGTATTAACTAAGTAAATAATAATAATTACAACTAGACAGATCCTTCACACGGCTTAATCTAATTTATACGTATCTAAACTAACATGTTAATATAGAAAATATTTGTGAATCAATTGATATTAATAATTAAACAAACAATAATTACATTTCCAAGAAACAGTCTAATCTGACTATGAAACTACGTTCATGCCTTGCTGCAAATTACATAAATAATTAATTAACTGACGTGCCAGGAAATCATCGCTTTGACGTATAAGTCTATACAGAAATCTATTCATAAATATATAGCTAAAGGCTTTCAATAAAAAGCAGGTAATTTAATAAAAGCTTCGTACTAGAGAAGTTATTATCACAAGTACATAACTTTGGAAATGAAAATTAAAGTAAATTTCAACCATTTAAGGTACTTATAATAATATTAATCTGAACTCTTAAGCGGGCATTAATAAACTTTTAGTGATTGGGCTTACAATGAGTCCAGCGAATTTGGTTTGGTCCTATGATTTGATGACATCAAGATGTGAATAGCAGAAATCCTTGAATAATTGTTTTACATATATATATATTTATATATTTACTTTTTGATTGAATACGACATAAACTGATTTGCAATATTTTTTATTTTATTTTACAAACTATCCGTAGGTACCACTCAGTCATCTTAGTAATACATAATAAGTTAAATGAGCCTCATTTTGCTTACACCAACAGGAGCAAAATCACTCTTCAATTTTGTTTGAAATCCTCCAGCAAATAAGAGTTTGACTAAATGTTGATCACCTTTCACTTTTCTTTCTATTTTTTCTTTACCCATATTCTCTTGACACTTTGTGAACCCAATCAATATCTGTTGTAGTTTACTAACCAACGTTTGTAATTATCCTTCTGACTTTGAGTTGATGATTAATTGTATGTTTTAACTTATAATAATTTATCATTTTCGAAGAACATCTTTAAATCATAACTAATGTTCAAACCCAGTAACACCCGTTTGTCTGTAGATGAATGGTTGCTGAACCACTTTAAAACAATTAAATTTAATGGGTATGGTACATGCCAAATTTTGGTCCAAATTAGCAATTTATCAAAGCAGGCCTTAGCTGAATATTTTCTATTACAAATAATCTTTTAGTGTAATAGTGAGAATTTATTAGTTCATAAGTGAACATGAACTATTAAAGTAAAAGGATATGTATGTATATATCATGTATTTAATTAATGATTCGGTATATGAATAGATAAAGTGTTGGTCATCGGAACAAATAATAAGTTTTTCATTGGTTGTGATGTTTTCACTTTAATATAATATAAATCGGAGCAAATACAAACCACCTCGCTTAATAAAAATAATTTGATTGATTTTAATTAGATTCTAATGTATTATAATTGAAGTTTTGATAGTTAGTGTTAAGAAATAACCTGAAGAATCGTATTATCTAAACACAAAAAGAAAATACAAAACTTAACCTAACAACATGTAAACACCTAACAACATAAAAACGAGCTGCATTGCGCGTATTCGGTCATTCTCGTGCCGGGCCGTCGGGCTGTATGGACTGACGACTGTTGGTGAGACTTTGTAATGTATTTTTAACTGCATTTACTGTTGTCTTTATTTATTACTGTACGGATTTATGTACGAATAAATTTAAAGATGTATTCCTAGGTCTTTCTTGGAATACATCTTTAACTGTATTTAATATTGTCTTTATTTATTACTGTACGGATGTATGTACGACTGTTGGTAAGAACTTGGTATACATTTTTAATTGTATTTACTGTTGTTGTTATTTACTACAGCTTTATAAAGGAACACCACGATAATCTAAAGAATCATCCGTCATATCTGATTCCTAAGTAATTTATGCTCGTCACAATGCATGTAGTAGAGATAATGGCCAAGTACTGGTAAAAACATAGCGTCGTTGTCAAATCAATATATGCTATGTGAAAAAGCATACTTTGTGATATTAAATTAAGAATTATTTAAAATTACATAATATTTAAAATTACATTCTTTTTTGCATATAACAGGTTTTCATTGTCAATTATTTTGCACATAACAGGCATTATTCAAAAAGATCTGATTTACACTAGTCTTTTAACACTGAAAAATATTTACAAAAAGTTTCAATCAGACTTAAGTTTTAAACAATCATTGTTCAGTAACGGGGGGCTTCAGGGCTCTTCAATTAATTCGTTTATTTTGAACTTTTTCGAAAACGGTTTATTTGGTAAAACCTTACAATTTGATTAAATTAAATAACACAGAATTATGTGCTATATTTTCAAAAGAAAAGTGTGGAAAAGTGGCGCCGTTTAAACGTCCCTCTTAATTAGGAAGCTAAACAGACCCCCCCTGCATTTCAAAATGTACAAACATAAGCTTTCTCGCGATGAAAAGAGATGGCGCCAGATGTCGCGCCAACAATCATAAAATGAATGGTAATCTAAAAATGGTTTTATTTCTTGTAATTAATTGAACTTTGATTGCGTTGTTTCTAATTACTTTTTGCACGATTGCGAAGGTTTAGGGTACTGTTAAGTATACGCCTACGCTGTGGCAAAATTGTGTACTCTTGTGGATGGCGAAGTGCACTTCACCCATTGACTTATACAAAAATGTTCTGCCATCATTCACAGTGGGATCACCCTTACTTTTACCTGATCGGATAGACTGAAAATTGATGTTCAAATGCTCATAATTCTTGAAAAACTGAAAATTAACTATTCTAATATCATAGGGTTGTTTTGGCCGCGCTTGACGCGTTCTTGCAATATTATCTTGAGGTGCATAAATAGGCAGCTTCATACAGTATTCGATAGTAGAGTGGACACTATCCACTTCCATCATAGCGTCCCTTTTCTAATAATAATTCCACTTCTACCTTTAAAAATAAGCACAATTACTTAATTATTTTTTTTTATTCATTTCTCATCGAGTAACAAAACTCATTAATGAACTTGCCAAAATCTTATTTCTGTTTTGATAGTTACTCCCATCACTAATTGTTGTGATGTGTTTATAGTTATTGCAAAAAGTTTCAAAGTAATTAATTACGCAGCTTGTAAATTTATTGGAAGAAACTCCTCTATCTGCTTCATGCCAAAAATAAATAGTGACATCTCCAGTACGCGAGTTTGTTGTTTATGATGCAGTGCTCCTGCAAGCAATTTTGGAGGTAAAATAACACTTTGCACGCCAACAGAGATTACTAGGTGCTCCGGGTTACTCTTCATGTTTTCTATTGCCTTGTTTTTAGCTCAACGTGTTTCATCTCTTTTCTGGATATGTCTCATAGTCCTCTTGTGAAATATGTTTTGACTGAAAACTTGTGCAAACATCGCATTGGTCCTTCCTTCGTTTATGAATTGAAATGTTCTCTTTAATAAGAACACTTAGGAAAGTATTTTGTGAAACTGGCTTTTTGTTTTGTTCATTATATCATATGTTATATACTGCGTGCATGTGCAGGTGTGATCGAAATGTTAACTCTATATAAATGCACTTTGATGATGCTAGGCAATAGTGAACTTTGCTTACGAGAATTTCTGTACATGTAATGCAACTCGTTCTTCTTCTAATACTAAACCACACATAAAACTATTTTAGATTGTTCTATTGCAGTATGATTACAGAAAGTTTTTACAGATCTAGCTTCTTTTGGAATACTCTGTTCTAGATTTACCTCTTTTTCTAGTAACCCATGTATTGTTTACCCAGTAAACGGTGGCGTTTAACTTTCGATTGACGAAATGATGTAATTTGAGAGCTGCTTGGTATTTTGATGCTCGCTGTTAATTCCTGGAAAGGATAAGATGAATTGTCATCATCATCGCTACTGTAAACAACGTGACGCTATTTATCTATTACTTATTAGTTAGTTAATGACATTATGTTAATATTGCTTTGAGTTTAGACTAAACACATAGCAGATAATTTATTAACCATCACAATTCACATCACATCACATCAACATCCTTTACTAGTCCACTACTGAACATAGGCCTCTCCTTAGAAAGGAGGTTTTGGCCTACTATACCACGCTGGCCAGACGGGTTGGTATAGGGTTCGTTTCAAGTGTTCCTTCTCTCTGCAGTGCTGTAGTCCTGCGTAGTTTGCTTCCTTAGTCGCCTCTTACGACACCCATGGAATGAATAGGGGTGGTGATACTCTGTATTCTAAATCCGTCACCAAACGGACAACAACACGATTGATAATGGTCAAACAAAATATAAAATGTGCACGTTGGTCACATAGCAGGTATTAATTGACAATATTCTAGCTGTTGCACATAACATGTTTTAAAAAGCGGTCATGGTTCATCGTACATTGCTCAAAAGCGCATAACAATTGTTTGATACGAAAGATTGATTCTCGAACTATTCTTCCTAGTTAACATGTTAAAATCTCAAAAAAGTGCACATAGCAGAATTGGTTTGAAAACGACGATAAGCTAAATGAATGCTTTTGCAGTACTGAAAGAAGAAAAGTGAGATATCGTACAGTATCTTTCTCCTTTATATTCAAGTCAAAATAGTTTAATTCTATGAATATTTTATTACTCATTAAACAATCATACATATAAATCTTTCATTTAGGTGAGTGAAAACCTGTAGTTAGTGTTTTTTTCTTTGGGAAATATTATTACTCTAAGAGTGTTGTGTTGTTCTGTGTACTTCAATGTTTTTTTGATCGTCTAAGTTTAATTACAAACGAAAAAGAGTCACATGGGATCGGTGGACGGTAGTACTTGTGTAAAGTAAAATAGATTTTTGTTTACAAAAGATTTGTGGCTACGTTTTCATAGCAGCTTGCTTTCCTCTGCGAGAAATAGAATAATTTTCATATGGTAATTTGTTAGTTTTACAGAATAATGTTATACATATGACAATAAACTGATGGCAGAAAAGATATACCTTTTATCCAATTTTATTGTTCCGAGTATATTACGAAAGACTCGCAACATAAAAGTGGATTTAGAAACCTTTAGTAGGCTAGTAAGGAGAAACCTCGAATAGAATATGTATATGAGACTCCGCGGGAGCATGTATACACTTACGTTTTAAAAGCTTCAAAAAGCTTTTCTAACATTATTTTTAAACTTTGTAATAATTTATTGTCATTGGATTTACATCTCACTTGAGGTTAGAATTCAAATTGAGTTAATGGAGAGGCACTCAAGGATTCAAATCTCAGGCAACAATCTTCGTGCATAGGTGGTAACGTGTCAATAGTACAGGATCTTTTTGATTCTACAGTAATACCTTAATACCTGTCAATATGTCAATGCGATTTTCTGTATTCTCAATAATAAAATTAAATTCTGAAATTCGCATTTCCATCTGACATGACAGGGCTGTTGCATAAAAATCATAAGCATATTAATAGAAGAAAAACGCGACACAGCAACCAGAATATTTTAGTTTGACAGATATGACCTCAATTCAATATTAAGGCTTTCAAAGTATCGCCTTGTATACAATATTTTTGGAGAAATAATTAAATAAATAATACTATAAATCAAGACTTTAAATCTGTAACAAACAGTATTTTCAAATACCTTGCTAATACTTAAGCAAAATTACTTGTCAACCGTCTCAGACACATGCCCATATTGCTCTATCCCTAATGACTAATTTCGTCGTTTCAGATTCTTCGCTATACTCTACCCATTAAGGCTGGCTATTGCAAGAAAGAGAAGCAAAACGATGTTGTACATGGCATGGATTATCGCTTTCCTGTGCAGCTTACCACAGGTAACATTGTGCATTAATCAGAATTATTTAGGTACTGAATTTGGTTAATTAATTATACAGGAACAATTTTGGAGTATCAAAAGCATTAACGTGTGAAGCAGATTGTGTCAGTGAATTTCTAATGAATCTGTGTAATTTATAATGAGAATGACATACGAAGGAAGTGGTACTTTATCTTTTGAAGTTATATCTTGAAGTTTATTTTATTCCCAGTAGTTCCAATAAGCCAGTTCCAACCCTATATTTCGAACCTGTGCCTTTATGTGACCAGTTTAGTGACAAGATTGACCTGGCGGTCTTTGTCGACAGAAGATAGTTTATGTCTTTATTAATAGAATCACATCAGCAAGTGTACAATGTTGAACAAATACTAACTAAGTTGTGTGGTTCTGATTGACACCATTGGAATTTTGACTGGTAGGCAAACACTAGCATTATTTTGTAGGTGCGACATGTTACGATGCAAGTCGGACTGTAAATGATGCTAACTTTATTTACAATTCTTTGGATGTAATTCAAACACAATTATAGTAAAATATGTACCCTCTATTTTAGGAAAAATCTGTGTTGCTTAGATGAATATTGATTTATAGTAATAGAAACTTTATTTCTTGCGCGAGATTTTAAATCATAGAGTGTTTTATTAAGGAAAAACGTTAGGAAATGAAGTCGGGTTTTATAACTGGCTTCGATCCATTTCTTTTGATTTTAGGATAGATATTTACTCTGAATCAATTAAATATATTTTAGTTGTAATCATTCACATTTGTGAAATACCTTATTTGTTGCTAATTCAAATAATAATGCTTTTCAACTTTTCCATAGTGCTCTTAATACGAATTATATTCAATTTCAATGTAATAGTGAGTAAAAATGGAATATAAATAGAAACGGTACGAATTTTTGTTTACTATACTTACAAGTCACTCAAGAACTCTTTTACCACAACGCTTGTCGGTTCTGCGGCTTATATCGCCAGCCCTCTGCCACTTCAGCTTGTCGGATCGGGCTATGTCGATGACCTTGGTTTTCTGCCGGATCACCTCATTGTTCTTGAGTGGAGACCGCATCTCGGTAAATGCAGTGTAAGACTCCCACAAGCCAGGTGGAGTGACGATTTGCGTTAGTTGGCTGGCAGGAGCTGGATGCGAGAAACCGAAAATCGATCGAATTAGCGAGCAATAGGAGAGGCCTATGTCCAGCAATGGACTGTGATAGGCTGATAATGATGATACAAGTCCACCACGACCACCACCATTCCTTCCATTATGGCAAACGAGCAGACCAGCTGGTAGCAGCTAAATAATCAACTTATTACCTTCTATTGTTTTTATCTTAGTTTTTATCTTATCTGTTTAGTATTTTTTATGTTTAAATTGTTTGTGCTAACTCTCCTATGTGGTCTGGTGACACGAAGTACCTACATGTTTTTTTACCAAAATCTAGATCAGTCTTTTACAAAAATAAAAATTAGTACATAACTATTTGTGAACGAAAATGTATAGTTTAAATTTTAAAACATGCGTCACATTCTACAACTCCATCCAATATTCCAATTTCCATCCATCATTTCAGCATAATTACTGGTCCAGCACAATATTACAATTGAATTGCGAACGTAAAGGACAATGGCAGGTCCCCATACATAATTTTATTTGAACTGAAATGTTAGCGTTTAAATATCAAAAAATCCTTAACACTTGAGAGTTTATTCTTGACCATTCTCATATCAAAATTACTTGCGAAAGAAGTCTAGGAAAAAAGATATTGGATTTTGAATGTTTCGAGGTTAAGTACTAACATATTGCTAATGTTTTGTTTGAAACTAGATGGCGTTGTGTGTCAGATAGCCGAAAATATTATTTTCATTATTATTACAGTATATGAAATAAAAAAATAAAAGCATAACATCTATTCGAGTTTAACACTAAATTAAACAAAAATAAAATAACAAACGTGGTGAGTCTGGAACTTGACAGGATCTAAACCACAGATTAAGAGATATGTACTAAACGACGACGTATCGACATTTTGAAAATATCGATGTATGTCTATTTATGTGCCGTTATCAATGACAATGTATTTTTCTCATCACACTGTTTAGTGGAAAATAACGTAACTATATTCTATTTCTTTAGTGTGTTTAAAATCGTTTAAAGAGAGTCAAAAATATTTTAAATCATTTCTAATTATGTTGATTCAGTCACTCTACCGTACGAGTGAAGACGTGGGCAGAAGCAAATTCATAATCATAATAGTGAACCTTCGGTAAATATTTCAGCCAAAGCTATAAGAATCGATTATCGATAAATTGTTCCATAATATAATATTGCCACCACGCATCCCTAGTCAGTTATACGTGATGGCGAATCTGACATTACGTACTTAGGTCAAATAAAATCTTCAAAAATATCTTATCTCTTATAAGACTTATACAACACATGGTTGTGTAATGATAAATCATAGAAAAATTTTTGATTAAGTTTACTGTGACTCGATTTTTTAAACGCTTAAGTTTTAGGTAAATATGTTTCTGCCATTGTTCTTTAACTAATAACTTTGAACCAGATAATCTATATAATGTTTTTTTTTGTATTTGTGGCTTTTAACCTTATCTTTGTTGGATTATGCAACACATTTTATGAATAAATCCGTTTAAAAAAGTTGAAACTACTTCAAATAATACTGAAAATAAAAAATACAAATCTAAGTACAAAAACTATAATAAGTACCTACAATATAACAGGTAACATTATAATAGCAATAGTCCCTTCTAGCCTGTTTGAAGTCGGTGCCAAACCCGATGCACAATAAGTAATACTGGTCTATGTAAGCTTTACATTAGCACAACAAAAAGTTAAGAACTCAAGATAATTCTAATGGAACATCGCAGATTCTCGTCTACAATTACGAAATCTTAGTTTTTGCTGTTGTTCTTACTGGTACTTGTTCTACTGTTCGTTGATTGTTGTTCTACTGGTACATTGTTTCAGTAATTTCAGTACGATACTAGTATAAAATGGAATCATGAATAAAATCAGTCATTGAATTACAAAAACCTTAGTTTTTTCCTCTCGTATGTCCTTTATGGGAGGGAGTTATGTGGATTTGCTAGCGATTAAGATATCGTAACAACTTTCAAATAAGACAAATAAAAATAAGTGTGTGAATTTAAAAGTGAAAAAAATTAAATAGGCCAAATAACAACAAAATGATGAACATTTGTAGTATATACACAAACACAAAGTTTGTAAGTATTCTGTAGTTGTTTTCATAAATGCTCCTCTGTCTCGAACTTTTTGAGGTACCTTTAACATTTACACAGCTAAAGAGCAGTAATATAATTGGCGAATGATAGATAACCCACGATATAATGCTAGGTAGGCAAATACTGTTGGTACTATAATAAATAGAGAGTTAAGGATCTTGTTTTATTGTCTACTAGCTTATTCCCTCAACTGCAACCGCGTGGGGGTCGACATCAGACATCGCAGAGGATACAATGAATTAATATTATAGGTATACGAGTATGTATAACAGAAGATACAAACTAAAGAGTATTTATGTATTTACTGTGAGTGTGAAAACGCTACTACCAAAATTTCAAAGTCTTATATAAAACTTTAACCTCCATTTAGGGTTAAAAAAATAAAAATCCTTTCTTAGTACACACCTACGTCACCTTATGAACATTTGTGCAAATTTCATGCTTCCAGACCTAGCGGTGTCGACTGTCTTTTATAGACATAAAGAAGTAACATTTGATGTACTAAACATGTTTTTATGGTAGAGGTTGTAAACGAGCAGGCTGGTCAGCTGATGGAAAGAGACTAAAGCCGCCCATGAACACTTTTTTTCTATTCGGGAAACATTTATAACCATCGCACTAGTTATGGTTTAAAAGACTTGAAATTCGTTACTTCGCTACTAAATGTTAGCAGCAACTATTTTACCGAGAATTTAATTTTCTGAATAACTCAGGACAACCTATCAACCCTCCGATTGGAAGGCTGCACTTTGAAAGATAAACAGGTGACATACTATGAAAATAATTTCGAAGTTGAGTACTACTTTGAACTTGACTTTTGACTTGACTTAAACAGCTTTAATAACAATGTTTTGACATTTTGTAAGTAACTTGAAATTAAGGGACTTATTTGATTTCAAGTCACTGACGATATATAATAACTACTATTTACTTATACGTATTCATTTTGAAACAGAATACTATATTACAATTTCTGGGGTCTTTTGAGGGACATTTATGAACATTAATTTATAAAATGAGATAGAGAGATATCTGGAACAATGAAATCATGAAATATGTGGAAAAAATATTTGAACTAAGAAACAGTGAATAGAATACTGAATTCATAATGATACTGTACAAAACATACCTTTAAGTTCTAATATTGACATGTTTTTGCTTTAGCTAACAGTGAGAAATATGCTTCGGTACTAATGACCGGCTTCGTAGGAGTGCATGTTTCGTTACCTTTCATCGTGTGAGTGAGGTTAGCGGTGCCCAAACCCCTCACGTCTGTTGGTGTGCCCCTATACCATAAAAAATATTCCTGGATGTATTTGTGAAATATATGGTAGAGAATTAACGTTTTTTTTGTTCTAACGTGATAAACCTATTTTTAGCTATTAGTGTAAGAATACTCGGACAAGCAGTAATTGTACTTGAATTTACCACATGATATAAGTGCCAAAGAGCCAAAAGGTTTTTTGGTCAAGGAATAACTACTCAAATTGCAGTTGCGATCTGAAATTTTGCCCTTGGCCGATATTTATTGGGCAAGAGGCTGGCATCTGATTAGAGAACACGAAGCAAAACGTATATATATCCTGCACCTTCAGAAACAATAATGCTTCTATTTTATCAAATTAAATAGCCCTAATCCCAAGTAGCTAATATGTTGGATAAGAATGATTTTACAAGTTATTTGTTATGTTATATACATAAGTAGGTAGGTCTATTTTATTTTTGGCATGAA